TGTGTGTGTGTGTACCAGGAAATAGCTACTTTTGTATGAATCTGTGCACAATTATAACCAAAGTACAACTACCACAATCAATGGTAGATGTATTTTTAAAATGCCACGTAAAAACTGAATAAAGTTTTTTGCCTTTTAGACAATGTCCTCACTGAAGGCTTTGAGACCAGAGAAAGCAGCTGCGTCACCATCCAAAGCCAGTTTTACTTTACAAACACCACCAACTCCTACAACGTGCTGCAGGACTGTGGAAACTGCTCACGGTGTGTTCTCCTGCAGTGTCAGCAGAATATGTTCATGCCGTGTTTGTGCTCTCACCAAAATATCCAACAATGTCTTTTACAGTCTGTTCCATGCAAAACGGATAGAAAACACCAACCTGCTGTTCGTCGTTGCTGAGACACTGCCCTGCAGCTCCTGCGAGATAGAGAGGCTGACCCAGGTCAGGACAGAGTGTATCCTTTCTGTGATGTCTTCATTTGTGCTAAAGGTAGAAATTTCAACAACCTTGTTTTCAGTGTCACTGTTATTGCTGCCCCCCTTAACTGAAAGCCAACAGTTCAGGAGGAGAATCCATGTGAAGTACTGAGTAACGCACGGTATCGTAAAGGCCCGGCTTCCTGCTTTGACTACAGTGCCTTAGTAAGTACATGAGGTGATATACACTCAGTCCTGCAATAAATCCCAACTTCATGAAAGTCATCATCATATAGTGAAAACTGTGGTCCTGTTGAATTGTATTGCATTCAAAAACAAAGACGGTTCTATTATTTTGCCCAGGTGTTCTCAATTTTTATGTTTTTATTGTCCTGACCCACAAGTGTAATCAGGCTGGTGCAATTAAATGTGAAAAAAGTACCCCGATAATATTTAGTAGAAGAATTATCATCACAGAGAGAATAACCTAATTTTAGTTTTATGTTAGCCTTGCTTTGTTGGTTTGTGCCGAGCTAAGTTCAACCAAATAAACAATAGTAAACCAAGCTAGTTGGCTAACGTCATTCCAGCTCCACAGCCAAGATAATACATTCATTCATATAATTTATTTTAAAAACAACTGCACCTGTAAATAAATACGTCCCACATCTTATTTTCATCATTTTCATTATAATATCTATAAAATGTATAAAACCTCCATAGCATGCTGAGGACTGAGGCAAACAACCACAGGGGTTTTCTCAACATATTCTGTAAGTGATGTGCCATTTGCTGTGTAAAAAGAGCATTTATTGTTGAACTCTCTTTGCAGGAAAACACGTCAGAGTGTGGACGGGGTCATTCTCTGCAGTCCTCCATAGGAGTCCTTCTCTTTATTCAGCTTCTCCTGCCTCTCTTTCATCTCTGACACGTGCAAACGCCCGGACATCTTTCATCTCTTTGGGTTAAGGCTCAGATCTACTGAAGGTCACATCAAGTGCAAAACTCTCATTTGATCTACGAGCACAGTGGTAAAAAGAAAAAAAAAAACCTGGATCAGCGCTTTGTGTTTTTTGCCTTATTGCTTATATGCATTTGTTGGTGTTTTGGGGCTTAAGTGCAAAATATAGGTACAGAATGTTGGATGTGCATGCTACATAGGTCAGGACATGCATGACATTTTTTGGACGCAAGCTCAGCCACATTAACGGTCTAACAAACAGTCAGGGAGGCACCTGAAATGTACTTTTTAACAGTTCAGTGAATAAAAAATAAACCAACCAGCAGGAACAGACGTTAAATACAGTGAAGATCTAAAAACTTAGTTAGACTAGTTTCGTTTATGTGTGGTTAAAATACTCTATCGTAGGAATACACTCTAGTAAAGTGCAGGTTTATATTTACTAAAGAAAAAGTTTCAAGAATTGGCAACAAAATGAACTTCAATGATCAAACACATCACATGACAGCAGAAAGCCCCCATCAGTGTTATGTTATCTCATGATTACTGCTGCATTAACATGTACACAGCATGTTACTGTTGTAACTCCCTAATCCTCACTTCCGATTAGTTTGACCGTAACAATCCACAGTATCATGGTAAAATCTGTAAAATGAGAAGTTGTAACTAGAACTAACTACTCACCACTAACTATAACAGATTCATGAAGTGGAGTAAAAGGTGCAGTACTTTGTATTTTCTTCAGTAGTATTAAAGGGGCTCTCCGCAGTTTCCTTGTAAACAAAGCTTCAGTTTGCATTCATGGATCACATCAAGGACCCACTTAAAAACATTGCTCAATAGCTCCACAAGTGGTCAGAAACTCCACATGGTACCTTTAAGTAGCATAGAATAGAAATATTTAAAGGTAGTTTTGAGTTTTTAGATCTTTCATTGTATTTTATTGTTGACCCACTCTGACCTCACTGTTATTAATATGATTTCTTTGTAGGTATGGATTTACAGTTTCCATACAGCACTACTCCTGAGTGAATTCAGCCTCGACATTGACAAAACTGACAGTTTTACACTGTGCACACTACACACTACAGCATGGTCATGTAAATAAATAAACAGAATCAGCTGCTGGTTGAGCTTCATGGTTCAAACTCACACCTGAAATTAGCTCAGACGCTGCTTATTGTAACTTTTGCTTTTGTAGTTTTAAAATTAATTTTCAAATTTCTTTTTTCCTTTTGCATGTTCGGTCCTGCTAAATGTCTTTTCTCCTGCACTTCTAGTGGTTACATGTAACATATACATTTATAGATCTGGGCCTTAACCTCACATTCACTTCAGTGTCTTTCAGTCCACCTCTGATCTTTGCCAAGACAGTCTCAGTATTTTAAATTGTATCATACATGACATGACCCAGAATGATTTCCTGCTGCCATCTCAAGTATGTTGAATCTTTAAGTCGGTCAGATTCCTGACAGATGGATTATAAGAACCCTTTTTCCCTGAAGTAATTTTCCTAAAGCACTTTGACTCATTTGACAACAGATGAGGAAGCTAGTATGATGAGAAATACCAGTGTTAGACCTCCAGCAAGATTTTGTGACTTTTCATAACATCAGTGATGAAACAGACGTGTAGTTTCATTGTGATACGAGGATTGTTCCAGTCACGCTTTGTTTTGTTGAAATGCTTCCACAGATACTTGGTATGATCTTGAAGTGCTTCCAGTCAAACAAGATGTAAAATCAAACAACAGACGACCAAAAGAAAAAAACCAAAATCATCAAACATGAATTCATTTTGTTAAGTTGCCCATCTTCATTTGATTATAAGATTTAGGAACACTGCACAGTGTTTAGTGCAATAAGGCTGTTGGACAAATGAATGGGGTTAGAGTTACATTTTATCAGTAATATTTGGTTCATGATGAAATGAGGAGAACTTCTCATGCAGTGTTATCTGTCGTCCTGCAGCACAGAATGTGTGGACAGTCTGTGGCCAACACGTTTTCAAACGTATTTCCTTCGTTGTTTGATTAGTGGGAAGCTCTTTGTCTCTGTTTTTGTATCTTGTGTCATCACTATTTGTCAAATCTGAATTTATGCACTTATGTATGCTTCTGTATGGGGAATGTAGCTTTCAGTGTTATCGGTATATTATTAGTGTTTGATGCTTTTTGACGCTCTGTTAAGATTTCCCTGATGTCTCACTGAAAGTGATGGTTCTCTGTGGTACAATATTTTCGTTTTATCGTGCGTACTAATGTAATTTTAGGGGTTAAAACTCTTTTTCATGTAAGTCAATATTGCCTCTTTATAACCAGAATTCTTATTCTTATTTATATTATACCATACGAAAATAAATATACACATATATAAATATGAATTTAAATGCCCATTAGTTATCTAATTGATCCACAGTTAGTTGTTTTCTCAGTAAAATGTCGAACAACGAAAATGCTCTTCACATTTTATTTATCATATATTTTGCCAAAAACATAAAAATGTGATAAAAACCAGAGAAAACAATGACTATTAAAATCATTTATTGCTTAATTTGACAAAGAAGGCTACGGCCAAATTGATGTTAAAGCACTTAGGACAAAAAAAATTCTCATCTTAAAATTATAACTGCTCCTTCATCGTCATCCAAAAATCATGATTATGCAAATAGTTTTTACTTAAAACGTTTAAATACTGGACGCAGGATGTGTCCTACCTTAAGCCTCATGAACACACACTGTACGAGTGGACTTCAGAGTAAAGTTGAATATTGGACAACGACAGGCTGCAAACTTGTTGTGATGTCCCCAATCAACGATTTTAAGTTTGATTTAAGAAGAAATACATTTTCTCTCTTCAAAAACTGTTTGAAATGTAAAACGATTGTGTCAAACGCTGAGCATACGTGATTCTTCACAGAGAAAATCAAAGATCCGGGTGACGTAACAAAAAGCAAAATATATTTTTGAGCGTAGAAAACTTTAAGTAACCTTAAAAGTGACAAAGACTGACAGTAGAGACTTTTTAACCTCTCAGTGTGTCAGTGTTTGATTCACAATCGGTGTTACGCATGATAAAATCCTGAAAATACTTTCCCACAGCGACTTCACAGACTCTGGTTACTGAGTTACTGCGTTATGGTAATGAAAAAAAAGAAGAAGCTTTTTTGACAAAATATTTGTACAATGCTGCCCCCCCCCCCCCCGTCTGCCTGGTGTTCCACCCTGCAGTGCCTTGTTGCACTCGTTTTGGATGGCAGGAACATTTTTGATCTATTGGCTGTGGACGTTCATCCTGCAGGACACGTGAAAGATATCCAAGGGTTGCAGGGATTCAACTCTAAACACACTTCTTGGCCACGCAGCGAATATACAGAGATGCTCTGTGTGAATTTGTGAAAGACTTTGAAAGAGCAGAACTGAAGAGTGTTGAGCAGCTGGCCTCCCCTCTCCTGCCTTCTCACGGACAGAACAAACCCTGCAGCCCTACTGCTACGATTCGTTCCTCTCTGCGCTGTGGTACAGCCCCGAATCAAAGCACAGACACTGACCATTTTCATAGATTTCTACTTCGTCCCATCTGCACACTGTATATTCTCTATCTGAAGCCTGCGGGGAAACGAGAAATTTCCCTCTGGGACTGATTGAAGCGAGTGAATGTTTATGTACAGAACGCCTACTGTTGTGAATCTCAGCTGGACCCGAGCATGGCGGGGACCTGGAGAAGCAGAATTAAAGCTCAACACTGTTGGGAGACCTCAGTCAAAACAAAGCTTTCAGACCTGCAGTCTTTACATCAGGTCATATTATGTTGAAGGAAAGACATTTTGCTGAACTCTTTGCAGCCTACACTGTATTGCTACTGTTGAGGTCAGTGTTGTAGTTCCGTTCTAAATTAGCAGTATTTATTTGCATGATATTTTTGAGCAGATTTGTGTACATAGCCTGGTGGACATTCCGTCCTCATCCAGCTCTCCAGCACCGTGGATGGAGAAGTGACGGCGTCCTCTGTGGCGTTTCCGCGGTGACGTTGAGGCCTCGAAGCTCTTTGCCGCGTGTAAACGAAAGAAGCTGAAAGTTTGACTTCAGTGAAGCCTACAATAACTGTCAGTGTTTGCAATTTAGGTGTTTTATCAGAAGTAAAAGCACAGAGACATTTGGAGTTAAGAGCAACAACCTGCCTGATGAAACTTTTGTTGTTTATTCATGAGAAATGTCTCCTAGTGACATAAAAATGCTGATAATGGTTTGTGCATTTAAAGGCTGTGTAACAACCAAACAAGGCGGAGGCATGTGGGGGAATGCCCCTTTATTGATGAACTTTATTTATGAAATAGATTTTAAGTGTTGCTTATTTGATTTATTCATGTATTCTTTATTTGTTGATTTTTTGGGTGAATAATATTTGTATTGAACAGGAAGGAGCTGAATGTGATTGAAGCTTGCGTGGGCACAATAAGCAATTTACAAGAAAATCTTGCAAAACAGAAAAATAGCGATATTTACTGTACGTCCATGTCCCTTTCTTTCTTGTATCAAAAGATAAGAATGTTAAAGTTTTTTGCTGTAACTTTGCTTTTCGTTTTTGCCGACGTCGTCATTTACTCGGGACAGTTTCCTCTCTTTGTGCCAGTCTCCAGCGCCACCTCATTTTTGTACAGACAGTGTGAAGCAGTCAGCAGAAGATGGAGGTTAACTTTGTAATAATTTTGTCAGTCACATTACAAAATGGATATTTAAATGTTTATATCTTTGGTGATTAAATGCTATTGATATTTTTCACTTCAGTTTGGAATAATTATTGTTCTTCACTGATTTACGATGTTCTACAGCAATCATGTTAAAACTTCAAGAGACACAAAGTGGCTCTATGTGCAGTTTCATCCTCCGACCATAACAGTTGATACACATTTTATAAACCTTTCAGCCCAATCAACTAAATTACAGTTATTCTAGATTAAAATCCCCAAAACATCTCCACATTATAAAAGCCGAATCTGACCTGTACTTAAATGACATTATTATTTTCCATTGATATTATTTCAAAGAGACCTCTTGTTTCTCTCTTTATAGAATAGATTCCCCTTTCTCCAAAACAATTGGGAAAAGGGGATATGAAGAAGTAAAAAAGTGATTCAGCACAAGGAAAAGACTTGACACAAGATGAATCCCCACATTGTGATTTAATTTCTCTTCAGGAATCGACAAAGAATTTGGTTTGAAATTCACAAACGTTAGAAACATAAACCTTCTAAAATGGGATGATACTAGTGAATACTAATTAATCTTTTGATCATTTTTTAACCTTTAAAATTCCTGACAGGAAAGGAAAAATAAACATTGTTGTTTTCTCAGAGTTGCAGTTTGACGCATATACAGTTTTCAGTTTACTACGTAAGACAAATAAAAGCAGGATATCACACATGTGAAAGGTTGGATTGTTTAATTTCTGTAAATTCTATAATCAATTGAACGACTAATCCTTCCACTAATTGAATGTGTACTGATGCTCTATGCTTCATCCTCTTTCTGTGAAGCTTTGTTTGGTTAGGTGGTGACCTGATAGAATAGTAAGGATGCACATACTATGGTCATATATGAGCTCTGGACAGCACGTCGTGGTTTTGCCTTATAGCTAATCAGACTGCTACATGTCATTCCAATATGTTCCCTGTCTGTCTTCATTGTCTCTATTGTATATCCACACAAAATGAAAATGTACCTGAAATATTAGTTTGATATAATATTAA